CCCAGCCCAACTCACCCCTCCCCGGTCCCCAACCCATGACCTCCAGTGATGGAACCCACCTTCCCCATCTGTGATCTCCAGTCACCCAACCCACCTCTCCCAGACGCAACCACCAGATCTTTGCTCTCTGAGATCTGCTCACCAGAAGCAACAACGTGATTCTATTTCCCAGCCATCACAGCAAGGATAATGGGAAAAACTATAGTTTAGTGTGTTTTTTGGTTTAGGAACAGCATACAAAGTAGAGAGGTATGCATATTACATGCTTAACTCCCTCCATCCCTCCCTCTATATATATACTTCTTCTCTACCCTCTTCTCTCAGTCACAAATATGAATCAGATCCCTCTGAAGCAGAACCATGGGTAACACCCGACACTTCTGAAAGCTACAAGTCTATGAATGACAAATTATGGTTTGCTAGGTTGACGGGTGGTGATAGGGGTGGATACAAAGATGGGTGAAGGTGGCAGTGGTGGAGCTTGGTGATATTACAGTGGTGAGGTGTGGTGATTGCAGTGGGATGTGGGGGAGGCATGTGCATATCAACTGTTTGATCAAATACTGAATCTGATACCATAAGCCCAAACTTTTCTTATTTTAAAGAGAGAGGTCCTAACTTTTAGATCATACCTAAATAAAACATTTATTTTTCATGTCGGTAGACTCTAGAATATGGGCCTACTATTTGCCAAAAAACACTGACAGTGGCCAAAAGTAATTATATATTTTTTTAGTTGAATAAAAAAATGTCACCCCAGTGCACAATACTCCCTCCATTGCTGGGCTGCCCTTTTATTTTTGGCTGAATCAGCCACTAAAGCTGTAGATCCTAGCTACTGTTAATATAAAAGCCACTTAATGAGATAATTAGTACAACAAAAAGATACCACTGTTGAAGTTCTCAGCATTTTATACGGTCAAGGTGAGAAGGGGGGAAGAAACAAAAATAGTAAGGGAATAAAAAGAACTTAAGATAACCACATTTAGATTTAAGAATAACAAAAGAAAAAAGACGGCAGTGTAGATGATGTAAGAGAAACTGATGCAAGCTGATGCAAAGAGTTTAATCAACGATGGGAAAAGATAAGGAGGATCGTTCAATTATATTACCGAAACAAACAAAGTTGAAGAAATAAAGAAAAGGAATATGACAACGCCTAAGCACACAAGCCATTTGATACATATCATCGATGTATTGGCTCAAAAGATATCTCCATGCACTACACAGACAAATACATCACTATATAAGAAGGATCTAACTTGAAAGACAAGAAAACTTACTGGGACTTTAATCTTGGATTTGGAGTAAGAGTAGAAGACTAGGACCTTTATTTAAACTTAATAGGCCATAAATCTGATAAAAACTATCAAGTAAGCCCCACAAACAAAAGTCTCTGAACAGCAGCACATTCTACTTCCCAAACCAAGAATACCAAAATATTCCTTACATACAAAACTCAAAAAAATTTCTAGCTTGAACCTAAAATAACACATATTGAAGAATAATGAGAACTAAACATTATTCTTTTTTTGTTAAAAATACTAAGAACTTACAAATTTTCAATCCATGACTTCAAGGAAATCGAGCTATCTTGTGGGTCATGCCTCAAAATTTGAGCCAAACCTCCAAAAACTTCTTCTCTTTATATTAACTCTTAAGACCCTTTCCTTCTCCTAAAACTTACTTTGCAAAACCCAAGAGCAATTTTACAAATTTACGTCTATTTTCAGTTGAACTTGGAGTCATAGTTGTAAAAATGCCTGGGGTCTTGATCCATTGCCCAAGCAACCACTCAGGCACGTAGGCGATGGCCTAGCCCATGAAATTTTAAGATGGGAGCAGTCCTTTTTATTGAATCCACTCCAGGAATATTACTATTTTTCATGGGGATTTTTTGAATAGGCCTTTGTTAGGCTTTCTTGTCCCATGGGTCAGGCTTGATGATTCACATGCCAATCATTCTCCCAAACCTGGGATGTGACACCATAACATTGTGTAGAATGCATTATTTTTCAAAAGAAATCAGATATGAGGCATTGCCAAAGTTTCCACATTCGTGAAACACGGGTCAATGTTATAAAAAGAAAGCTACTCATAACGAGTACTATATTGCATATATTATAAATGTATAATAAAGTGCAACATCTTTGATGAATACAAATTTTAAGGAAGAAAAGGCGTCATGACCTATGGCTTGTTTCTTGTATTCACCACCTTTTTTGAAATCTCTTCATTTATAACATCAAGAGGACCCAGTAAAGTGGTTTTGCAGTAGTCATGCCAAATACTGATCTATCTAATAAAGATGCGAAGGACGCATGCATGAGCTCCAAGAATGAAAATGACCCATCGTTATGCAAGATGAAAGAATTAGCAGATGATAGTTGGCTATTGCAGGAGATACAAGGTGTGGTGTATGCAAATAATATTTACTGTTTAAACAGACAGGAAGTGAAAATGATAGGACTTTCCTTATATTGAATGCATGTTGGCAGAAAACTCATGCAGAGACATGTGACACCAATCACACTTGTCAATGTATAAAAGTAGTTTACGTGCCATAAATACTAAAAACTTTGGGAAGAAAGTTTTGTGTCTCTTCTCTACCACCACATCACGTTATACATATTTATATATATCATATCATCATGGATAAAGAGAAAGTGGGTCATTCAAAACGGAGGGGTTCACAAATCAAGCTCTATGTTAGTGAATGTATAACTATGAAGCACGGACACGGACACGCGACACGACACGGACACGACATGGACACGCGAACACGCAAATTTTTAAAAAATAGGGGACACGACACGCTAGGGACACGTTAATATATATATTTAATTTTTTTTATTATATGTCATAAAATTATAAAAAAAATCATTAAAAGGTAATAACATATACAAAATAATACTATTAAAATTATAAAAAATAAACATTTAATTAATTTAACATCATATGTATCATTCACAAATAACGTACATTATTAAAAATTAATTCTTATAATAAAATTAATAAACATACATTATTAAAATTAATAAAACTAATCAAAAAAAAATTATGTACTCAAATAAAAAATAATAACTATAAAAGAAAATTATAACTAAGAGAAAAAAGAAAATAAAAAATAAAAAAGAGAAAAAGAGAGAGAGAGAGAGACAAATCAATTATATAAAACAAAATAACGAGTTATATAACTCATTATATAACTCAAAAAATAAAAGAAAACAAATCAGACAGAGGGTGAGATAGGGTGCGAGAGAGAGAGAGAGACGACAGCAACTTAGTAGATCGGAGAAAAGGAAGAACGAAGAAGAAGAGGAAGAAGATCGACGACGAAGAAGAATAAAGAAGAGCAGTGGGTACCTTAACGACAGGCGACGACGAGACACGAGTGACGACCGACGAGGAGTACAGATGAACGACGAGCAACCAGGTCCTCTCTTCCCTCTCTTCTGTTCTCCCTTTCTATTCTGTGCTAATCGACGAGTTAGGGCATATATTTGTTTTACTTATTTGCAAATTGCCCTCAAAAAAGTCTTGCAAATTGTGAAATTACCCGCGAACGTGTCCCAAAAGTGTCAATAACGTGTCTGGAACGTGTCCGGATGTTTAAAAATTAAAAAAAAAAAGGACACTCTCTGCTGCGTGTCGGACACGTGTCAACCGCGTGTCCGACGCGTGTCTGTGTCCGACACGTGTCCGACACTGGTACGGAGCCCTCGGAGAGGTGTCCGTGCTTCATAGATGTATAATATATTAAAGTGCCTCGGACTTTTAGATGCTGACATACACCCACCAGATAATCATTGCATAACATTGCATATCGGACACTAAAATCTCCAATTGCATCAACATGCCATGTCGTAAAAGAAATGGCAATAAATACGGTATAACATCAAATTGTTGTAATGGAGATCGAGAGGAGCTGATTAGCACATAAAACTAAAGCATGGTCATAATGTGAACATGCTGTGGAAATGACAAGAAACAAACTAATACATCAAAGTATGGTCATCACTTCAACAGACTATCATGGAGAAGGAAATAACCCAACTAGTGCATCAAAGCACGACCATAAGATCAAGAAACTATAATGAAATGGCAAGAAAGAAGACCATAATCAAACGTGTCCGGAGGTTTAAAAATTAAAAAAAAAAAAGGACACTCTCTGCTGCGTGTCGGACACGTGTCCGACGCGTGTCCGACACTGGTACGGAGCCCTCGGAGAGGTGTCCGTGCTTCATAGATGTATAATATATTAAAGTGCCTCGGACTTTTAGAGCATGACATACACCCACCAGATAATCATTGCATAACATTGCATATCGGACACTAAAATCTCCAATTGCATCAACATGCCATGTCGTAAAAGAAATGGCAATAAATACGGTATAACATCAAATTGTTGTAATGGAGATCGAGAGGAGCTGATTAGCACATAAAACTAAAGCATGGTCATAATGTGAACATGCTGTGGAAATGACAAGAAACAAACTAATACATCAAAGTATGGTCATCACTTCAACAGACTATCATGGAGAAGGAAATAACCCAACTAGTGCATCAAAGCACGACCATAAGATCAAGAAACTATAATGAAATGGCAAGAAAGAAGACCATAATCAAAGCATGGTCATAACATCAGCAAGCTATCATGGAGATGGAAGGAACCAAACTAATGCATCAAACCATGACCATAACAACAACAAACTACAATGGAGATAGCAAGAACCGATCATGAAAAAATGAAATCCAGTCTTAAATAAAACTGTGCACTGTAATATACACGATGGGGGTTTGATCTTATATGGCTCAAGAAGGAGCCGAAGAGAACCCAGTAACAGTCCTACAAAACATTTGAAGAGAGTCCCAGCTCATACCGATCATGATTCACCACCACCTGGATGCAAACTCATAGTTCTGCAAGCTGGTAGCTCTACTCTTCTTGAGCATCATACATAGTGTGTACCAATCTTTCCCAATGAAGCATGTGTGTGGAGAATCCATGTGTTTAGTGAATTGTGGACCTTCTTGGAATCATGGTAGACACTGAATAGAACAAAACCACCCAGAGTGGATATGGAGAGAGCTAAGGCAACTTATAGAGAGCAAGTGGCAGTATTATGTTTGTGTGTATGGAGAATCTAGGTATTCAGTGGATTGTGGGATCTTTTGGGAATCATGGTAGGCACCAAATGGCACAAAATCACGAAGTGTGAATAAAAAGAAAGTTGAGGCAGCCTTGGAGAGAAGAGTGGCAGTAACAATGGAGGTGAAGACTATCAATGAATGCAGGGTGAGAGATATACATGAAGGAATGGTTTGGTCTATCTCATGGAGAGAGTCAGCTCCTTTTATATAGAGGGGAAATGGCTGGAAAGGCATGTTAGGTGTTCTAACCAAGGCCCTTTTAACCCATGTTGGCTCCATCCATGCGATGCATCTCTCTCTTGTCTAAGGTTTGTCAGACTGGGGTGGGGCCACCTCGGAGAGTAAGCAAAGCAAGGATGCACTCAATTCTATCATCAATCCACGAGTTTGTGGTGATCCTGTGCAGGGTCACAAGTCGCTCACGCATACCATGACCAAGACACCAACCCTGAGGAGTCCCTAGGTCCTACTTCTGACCTAAACAGTCTGTATGTATAATGTCAATGTGCAATTCTCGAGTCAAGCGGAGCAAGTATGGTTGTGGGGATCATCCTCTTAAGGATGCAAGCATGCCAAGTCATGTGGCACCCATGTAGTTAAAGATTGATTCACTTAAAAATTATTTCCTAATCTTATTTGGTCAAGCATTTCGTGAGATATGTAAGATATCTGAATGAATGTTGTAATTTCTATATCTGTTGGTTACAAGAGTGATACTCATTTATAGAGAAAGCACCGAAAGGAGAAGACAAAAGCCATGCATAATAATAAAAGTGTGTGAGTGGTGTTTGGTCTTTACAACCGAAAGAAGAAAAGAATCCTATGCTTTGTCCTATAATATATTATACTCTATACATTATACATTAAATTATACGTTAGCACATTTAACCTTTAGAAAAGTAGTTTTCAAACTAGGCAGAGCCGAGTTACTTTGTCAAGTATCTCGCTCAAAGTGATTTTAAGTGTATGACATAGCACACAAATGATCAAACTCATCCTTTATGTTGTTGTTGTTATTATTATTATTATTATTATTATTATTTTGTGTGTGTGTGTGTTTGTAGCACCCTACATGAATTGTATCATAGAAACATGTACAGAAAATAAACCACAGTACGAAAAAACTAAATGCAACAGAACAGAAGAGAAAACTAGATAGTATTTAATCATACCAAGATTGTTTCTTAATCCAAATCTTCTTCTCTGGCCTGACCTCCTGAGTTTGATTCTCCACTATTATTACCGCTGTTGTTTCCAGCTCCGCTGTTGCTGGTCTCTGCAGGTGAGCCAAACGCCCTAAAAGGCCATGGCAAAGCTATCCTAAACCTTCGTTCGACAGGGCGTGTGGTCTGGAGATTATCCTGAGACGTTGCCCCACTAGGAGCAGCAGCACTACCAGATGCAGATGCAGCTAAAGCAGACGCTAAATTGAAATTGGAAGGAGCTGGCGTTCCCCGGGTCCTATTCTCATAATCAGGATCGTCTGTAGGCAACTCGTAACGACAAACGGGACAAGAATTGTGGAGCTCCAACCAGGGGAGGATACAGTCGGAATGATATATATGTTTACAAGGCATGAGTTTAGCAGCCTCACCAAGTTCAAAGGTATCTTTACAGACAGCACACTGAGAAGAATCCGAAGAGAGCGATTCATCAGTAATCTTAATGTCGAGAAGAGCCTCAACTGCAGACTTAGAAGCAGGGGGGGTCCCGTACCGATTAGGATCGTTCTCGGCAAGCTGCTGGATGAGTTGCTCGAGTCCAGGGCCAATGAAGTAATCGCCGAGATTGGACGGAAGCCGAAAACCTGGATGATCCGAGGAGGAGGAGGAGGAGTTCTCGATGACTAGTTGGATATTGGAGCCTCCTGCTCTTAGGGTATTGATGTAATTCTGAAGGAAGGCGAAAGGATTGAATTCATCGGGGCCTTGGCCTTGTTGGAGAGTAGGTGATCGGCCGCCGAAAAGAGCAGAGAGATCGGCAGTGTTTTGGAGCTCGATGCCTCCGCCGATGGCTCCGCCAGCAGACGTGGAGAAGACCATGGGTAAGCCGCCGCCGCCGCCGCCTCCGAAGGAAGGGAAACCAGATAAATTGTCGAAGGCGAAGAAGGGATTGGGTGTAGGGTTGAGGCTAGGGTTAGGAGGAAGCGGATTAGGATTTTCATATTCTTCGAGGAAGCCGCCGTTGCAATTGGGGCAAAGGAGTTCGGAGGTAGGAGAAGATGTTATTGAGACCGTACGATTGCACTGGTAGCAGAAGTAGAGCTCAGGCTGCGATGTCACGGCGGCGCGCCCGCCCGAGTTTCCCGTCGATGACATGTCCGAGACAGAAAGAGAGAGCTTTGATATCTTTCTTGCCGTTGACTTTTGCTCTTTCTCACCGTGTCCGTCGCGTGTGGATATATAATTGGGGAAGGAAAATATTTCCTACCTCAAGTTTGAGTTTGTTTGTTTAAATCATGTTGGTTGATCATTCGGATAACTATTTGGATGATCAATATAACCTCTGTCCATACTCTTATTGATTGTGATTCTCACTTTATTATCAAATAATTATCAAATAATTGATCCAAGAATTGGTAAGTCAAAATTTGGATCTCCGATAAATTTAAATTCAAATTACATGCATTATTAATTATAAATAATTGATCACACAATTTATAAGTCAAAATTTGGATCACTTGAATAAATTCAAATTCAAATTCAAAGTACATAATTTTATTAACCATACCCAATGGTGTGGGAGAAATTTCTTTTATAGAAAGATGATAAATTTTATAAATATTAATATTAATTTTAATTTTAATTTTTTAATTATTGTGTAATAATATTTTTTCTTATGTAATTTAGGATTAATTAGGGTAGACTCCTCAATGATTAACCTAATAATATTTATTTGTTCATGGTTGCATTTTAATTGTTGATTTATTTAATAGTTAATCAATTAAAATTTAATTCTTTGTCACGTTAGTACAAACAAATTTAGAAGTAATGTTTTAAAGAAAAATATATATATAATATATTTTTTGTTTTTGTTGGTTGTGAAGTGGCACTCAATTGATTGTATGTAGTATGCAATGGCTATGTTGTTACTTATCAACATTAGTTAGTGAAGGGGTTTGCATTTAGGCCATTTGACAAATTAAGTTGAATGGATTTATTAGTGAGAGGATTGTTAGTAAAGAGATTGTTAATGTGTAGATTATTAGTAAGTGGATTAAGTAAGAGTGTGTTTATTTTGATGATAGTGTGGGAGATGATTAGTGATAGGATTGTTAAATTATTTTTATATAAAATAAATAAATAAATTATTTCTATATTACAAAAAAAAAACTAAAACAAATAGGTTCACTTGGTAAAAAATAAATAAATAAATAAATAATTTTTTTATATAAAATATACTCAATCCCTTCACTATTTTCTTAATCTCACTTAAAATTCACCCAAGCTAATCCCCCTACAGGGATTACTAAGAGCATCCCTATCAGTTCCCTTATAATAGCAAAAAGTTATTATAAGGGTTAATTTTTCAGACATTCTATCCCAACAGATCCCTTATACCATCCCTTAAATTTAGGATTGCTACAGTGACTCCGTATTTATAGAGAGTCACTGTAACTCCCTTATATCTGATAAATTCTTATTTTATTTTATTGAAGGTCTGAAGGAGAAATCTCCTAGATGTCCCCCCAAACTTCCCCTCGGATATTTGCTCGAATGTTCGTTCGTATCCTGTAATTAAAGAAAAAAAATGCTCAAAACTAATCGTCCACCCGGACACCCGAACGGTCTGCCTCCCAGACGGCCGACCCTTGCCTTTGCTTTTGCTGCTTTCTTATGTAATTGATTGACTTCAAAGGCAGTGCCATAAAGTCTCTATTTTTTACTTCAAAGGGTATTGTTTAATTATTTTATTATTAAAAAATTATTCAAATGTAAAAATTATTTTAATAGAATAGAAAAAGAATAAAGAGTTTGTTGGGGAAGATAGATGAAAAAGTAATTCTTAAAATAAGAAATAAATTTTTTAATAATATTTTAGAGTCAAATTTAGGTAAACTGATAGGAATGCTCTAAGCCCACTTGACTATTAATCTTATGACATTTTGTTACATCCAAATAAGGATTTAGTGGTCTCTCAAATTGGTAATCCAATCTACCTCCTAAAACTCCAATCAAACATGACCTTAGGGATTATATGACATTTTTGATTAATTGTATAATTTTTTGAATTCTGTGGTGCCATCATAATTATTTGATGGCATTAATTACAGTTTATTTGATCACTTTTCGGTCGTGTATGAATTAAGAATTTAAGTGAAAATTTGTGAGGGGAATTTTTTTTTTTGGGGAAACATTAATAAATCCTAAAAGATAATTTTGTAAACGGTTTAATCTTTCTTTTTTTTTATGAACTCAAAGATCTTATTAAAGTGAAAATTACACAAAATGATGGTCACTTATATGTTTGGATTTAATTTTGTAAGGATAAAAGTGGGTTTTTCTAAATGTAAAATTATACATTTGGATAATTCGCATCATAGAGGTTTTAGATTTTTCCTCCGAGAACAAATCTCACATGATGAGAAAAAAAAATATAACACTCTAATAACGTAACACTCTAATATAACTGTAACGTAACATCTAATATAAAACATTAAAAAACTCTTTGGTACACTTTTACCAAACGTAACATAACACTCCAAAAAAACTCATTAGTGTATTTTTTCAAAACGTAACACTCCAATGTAACACACAAAAAAAAACTCCTTATTGTTTTTTTTTCCAAACGTAACACTCCAATTAATGTAACACACAAAAAACAAAAAAACCTCATTAGTGTACTTTTTCCAAATGTAACACTCTAATTAATATAATCTCAAACGTAGCACTCCAATGTAACACACACAAAAATACTAAAAAATTCCTTAATGTAATTTTTTTAAACGTAATACTCACAATTTGAAATTATACATTTACTCAAAACTTATTAAGGAATTTTTGTACCCCTTTTGAAATATTTTGAAGAATCCCATATCCTGTTGGAATGGTTTAAAGAATCCCATATCTTTTTTTTGGAGTATTACTGTTAGCACCACAAATCTGCTATTTTATTATTTTTTATTATTATTGATAATTGCAGGACATGTGGCATCCTCCTATTCATTTGGAGATTATGAGAAGTTATGAAATGTGAAAAGATGATGGAGAATAAAGTGGAGAACATGGAGCATGAAGTAGAGGTTGAAGGAAGTTATGAAATATCATGTAGTATGAAATGGATGAGGTGGAAGAGTGGGTAGTTTTAGGTAGTTTTTTCCTACAAATGTTTGCCTATAAATAGCCATTCATGGCTACACTATAAAAGATCCAGAACTTAAATCAAAGACAATTGATTTCAATATTTCTTGTCATTTTTCTTATCTTAGGAGTAGTTTAACATAGATTTATATTTCGAAGCATTTATTTTCAGCATTTTCTTCAAAGCATTTTATGCAGTTCTTTTTTGAAGCATAGGAGTAGAGGTAAGTAATTATTACTTTGATTGTTCACTCAATCGTCTTTCTCTGTCCCTCATTCTTCTTTTAATTTTTATGTTCTCTACACTTGGCAATTTTGAAGTCCTCTTTGTTGAGGCAAAAGAACCGTCAACGCAATCGCTTGATAATTGGCTTGAATTTAATCTGTAAGGGTTTTTCAATCTTTGCTCTCACGCTTGCATTTATGATATTTTCCTTCGTAGGAAAAATAAGCCAACAATTTTTGGCACACCTCGTGGGACTGCCAAGTGTAAGAAATGACAAACGATTTGGATTTCGCCATTCGAACTTGTCAATATGAAATATATTGGCATGAGAGAAAAATTTTTGATCTTCAAAAAAAGATCCATTTTCTTGATGAAAAAAATTTCCAAGTTGTTTCTTCATTACCATATTATTTGGTAAAAGAAAAAATACACCACTTAATTGGAGTAACTCATCAACTTGATATGAAAATTTGCCAATGGAGACATAAGTTATCAACCCTTTTTGTCAAGTCTTTAATGACCGAATTTTGTGGGGTTTTACAAAATGTTTTTGAGTCATTTGTGACTGAAATTAGTGAAAGTATAATTTCATCAATGGCTCGGGGGTCAAAAAAACCATTTTTAAAAAGCCAACTAATGAAAATAACTTCGATAAAAAACATGTTGTTGAGCCAAGCATGGTTAAAAATGATGTTCCATATAGAGCTCGGGGAGTTGAAAAACTCATTCTTAGAGAGTCAAACCATAGAAACAACATGTCTATGAAGGATTTTCATAAGCCGTTAATGGCTAAAATGGAACAACCCATTAGGCCAAAAAATGATAAAACTCACATGGAAGGTTTTCATAAGCCTTTAGTGGCTAAGATAGAAAAACAACCCCATTTGTTAATAAATGATGAAAATTATTTAGCTAAAGAACATGTTCTCAACCCAAACATGGCTAAGAATGATGAACAATTATTTTCATAAGCCATTAATGGCTAAAATGGAACAACCCATTAGGCCAAAAAATGATGAAACTCACATGGAGGGTTTTCATAAGCCGTTAGTGGCTAAAATAGAAAAACAACCCCATTTGTCAATAAATGATGAAAGTTGTCTAGCTAAAGAACAGATTCTCAACCCAAACATGGCTAAAAATGATGAACAATTTAATGTTCATGAATCTGAATTTTTTGAAATTGTTCAAAATGTCAAGTTGTTTGAATTTTTAAGGCTATCTTGTATTGTGGTTCTTGGTGTACAAAACCTACTTTAGATTTGTGGATCACACCAAAATATAATTCTAATGATGTGGCTAATAAAATTAACAAATTGTTCTTACGAGTTCGAAGCACTAAGAACAGGGGATGACCATTTAAAATGCATAAACTTGGTTAGGAAAAGCCTATGTATTTAAATCAGTGGTTGAGAATTGTCACGACCCAAACACGTCCCTATGGGTTTAGTATCGAGACCGGCCAATAATCCGTGATTACCGAAGGCCTGCTTAACAATAAAGACAGTAATATAGAGTACAGGGGCTGGCGGAAGCCAAACAGTAATAAAAAGATGTCCATTGAGCTGTGACAGTCTGTATGCAAAAAGACTTTTCTGATACAATCGTATTCATCATCAACATATATACATATATACAATCATCCAGGTTAGGGACCTAATCCCTAATTAGAACAGTGCAGTACAAGTCTATACAGTAATACAGAACAAAAACAGAAGGGTGAACTGAGGCGCCCTAAAAGCAGCCTTAGCTTGGACAGACATGGAACCTCGTAGTGAGGCACAAGGGTTGGCTTGACAAAAAGGGAGCTAACCTGACGCATCTAGCTCCGGTTCGGTGCCTGGACACCTACATATAAATATAAACAGTGAGCTAAAGCCCAATGAATAACAT